TACTCCAAGCGCTGAAGACAATTTTGATTTGGGTATGTAGACCCTCAGATATCATGGGTGGATATCCTGGAGTGAAAATGCACATGCGGGTTTTTTTTTTTTTTGGTTGTCAACAATGACATATGTGAATGGTGAGTTTCCTCCTTTGGACACCACCATAAAAGATGTATCAACACCATCCCTTTCAAGCTCATCAAGTATTCTTTCGCCATGCGAGTCATCAGCAACCTTAGATATGATCCTTGGATTAAGACCAAGACAAATTTTATAATCCGGGTTTTATCAAAGCATTGTCAGTGTTGAGTGCTCCGAATTTTATCATCCGGGTTGGGGAATGAAGCTACAGCAGCCAGGAAGTCAACACCGGCCATTCCAACACCTCAGACAATGTGATTTTTGGGGAGCGGCGGATTCCACATTTTCAGCTTGAAACTTCAATGAATTTCAGGTAGAATAACAGAGTTTTTGAGGTTGTGCACCAAGTAGTTGTGGTCAGAGAGAGAGAGAGAGATGGGAAGGATATTTGTGGTCAATATGGAAGGGAGGACTTACAGGTGCAAATTCTACATCACGCCATCTACAACTACAACTGCTATTTACCATAGGAGGGTTCGCCGACCTGCTGCCCTCTCTGCTTCGCCGGAACCAAAAACCACCGGTGAAGGCCCAAACCTCGCCGGATCTGTTGCTGCACCGCCAGATCTGCCTTACTGGTCCGTCGCCGGAAGGAGTTACTGCCTCGTATGCTCGCTGCCATACCCACAACTCGCCGGAGAAGAACCTCGCTGCTACTCACTACCGACGGTTACTACTTAGCCGCCAAGTCTCGCCATCTCGCCTCACAGGAGTCACAACAGCACTGGTCTAAACAAGATTAGAAGAATAAGACATAAAGAGACAGAAAAACCCTTCTAATTCACGGTCAACAAACGGCTTCATTGACGGAGGATCAAAACTGTCCAACGACCAATAACAGTGTCTACTAAGTGGCAATTTTTATTATGGAGGATGAAAAGTGTCAATGCCTCAATAAGTCTAGGACCAAAAATGGCATTAACTCGTTTGTTGGGGAATCATTCAGACCCGTGATCCCCTATTTTCGATAATTCCCTGGCTAAGCAGATGAAGACCATTGAGCTGATGCAGTATATAAACTTTGTTCAGTCTCTATTAAGAGGGCACTTCATTACATATCCTCTTCCTCTCTTCTTTCCGTTCTTAAGTATGAGCATATAATAGTAGTCAGGTTCACCTGCGTTAAACTGGTGCAAGCTTTACGTAGCTCATTTGTGTTACTAGTCGAAAGCAACCCGGAATCTCATATTGCATCGTCGCCGAAATTTGCTTTCAAGGAAATGATGTTCACAACACGACATAAAGTCTTTCCTTCCTTTCTCGTAGTCTTCGCGCTAAGCAATTATCTTCGTCAGTTCTTGTAGACATTGTTCCAATCAAATCCCAACAGGGATGGCTTGAGAGTGAAATTCCTTATCTTTAGATTAGGGTTCGAATCACATCAAAATGATTGAGAATATAACAACATGCTTGGTTTGCGAAATAGGCTTGGAATGGAGTAATGTTCTCGGGAATAGGCATATTTCTTTGTTTGGTAATGAGTTTTATTCTTAGGAACAATGCTCCTGAGAATGAGATATTCCCCTTGCAAGGGGAATAACTATTACTGGCAACCCCCCCCCCCCCCCCCCCCCCCCCCCCCGCGCCCCGGGTATTAAGTTATCTCCTTGTTGATGTGTGGCTCACCAAACACAACATGAATTGATTATTTTAGCATCATGGTTCTCTTCTTGAGTACTCTGAATGCTTTATTTGTAGAAGAATATCTTTAAAATAATCCTTCATCAACTCTTTTATCAATTGGCTTGAGGTGAGACTTTCCGTTGGTATGAATGAAGCATTTGCTACCAAAGGTATGAAAGTAACTAACTGATGGCTTCTTTCCTTTCCAAAGTTCATAAGAAGTTTTGTTATGAGCTTTATGAACTAATATTTTATTTTGGATGAAACACATTGTGTTAACAGCTCCAGCCTGAAATCTATTAAGTAAACCGACTTCTGATATCATGGTTTTGATGAATAGAGGAAGATATTAACACTACTAAACCAGCGAAGGACACCCAAGCCTATGAAGGAAGATGGGTGAAGGGTTTTAGAGTCTTTTCATAATTGTAGTATGTTATAACCGTTTTCTCTTTGCTTTTATAGTCTGGCATTCGTCTTCCTCAATTGTGACTTTTGATACACACAAAACTATCTCACCAGCTCAATGAACATCATATCATTCCAAAGCTTTCCCTATTGTGCGTATAGGTCTTCCATCAAAGAATTTTAGTCTATGTAGATTTATCCTAATTGGAATATATTTTTCCATTTATTTTTTATAATAGTTCCAAATCTAATCATCTATTACCTCGTCTCCATAAAACTTGTGAGGTAAGAGGTAATAAATTTAGGATTGGGTTGTCAAGTGTTGTGTCTAAATAAACGCTATCATAACAAACAAACAAAAAAAAAAAAAAAAAAAAAAATCAGTGATTGAGATAACAATTCATCTTTTAACCATTAGTTTTCAGGAGGATAATATGGAATTAAATCAATTAATAACGACGGATAAAATTTAAGAGTAAAATATTGTTAAATTATTAGTTGATGAAAGTAAAATATAAAATGTCATCGTACCATAATTAACTCTAGCTAAAACAAATACAAATTAGTTTAATTAGTTTCTTAGTCTTCAAGCCATTAAGTCGACGTTGACAAATCTGTTTAGTAAAAAATAAATTAAAAATTTTAACCAATTACTTATTTATGATACGTTGCATCAAACTTATATATTTTTATTCTAAATATAAACAGTATATATTACCCTATGGTGGCTAAAACTTTTGCATACCATTAATTAGAAGTAAAACAATTGATCATTGATGTCAATTTAAACAGTAAATTATTGAGTTGTCAAAGCACACATAACAACTACTGTAATACTTATTATTATTAATATTTGTTTTTAAAACTTAGTTGATTCTAACTTCGCCGGACTGATTCTAGATCCACATGACCTCACCCCTAGAGTCTCTGCAGATGTAAATCACGAGTCGTGCGATCAACCCGCCAGACTTCCTATCATCATTAAGCTATTTTTACCATACATGTTTCCAGTAGAATTCAAATTCCTAAACTGTCGCCTTCAATCATGACATTATGTCAGACGACAAACCAACTATATATGTTGTGCCCGGGACCCGGGGAAATATTTAATTTTTATTATATGTTCATGTGTAAGAGATAATAGCATTAAATACCTAATAATTATAATTTTTAGGAGTTTTTAAGAGAGAATGATCTCAATTGCACTAGTCTTATTTTGTACGATGCAGATACATGTACAATATGAAAAAAAAAAAAAAATCTTTTTTTATAAGGACTGAATATTCGATCTATTGGTCTCAATTGGAATAAGTCCTTTGACCTTAAATTATGACAGCCTCAAACCTCATCAAGTTTGTCTAATTCTACTCAGTTTTCATTATTCAAATACATGTTTTCGTGATGTACGTATGTTATGAGTAATGTTATTTGACTTTCAATATAAACTTTTACCACACTATACAAATGTTTATTAAATATTATATGAACATAGTTTATTCCCGGTTATGAAGTATCATTAGGTATACAATGTAATGTTAACATTTATTTAATACTATGTGAACTTTAATAATTTGGTCATGGTACGGTGCAATGCTTAACAAATTGAATGTAACTACAAACAATTTCACATTGCATAATTATGTTGGTAGAGTATTTAATGTCTTTTCTATATAGAAAAATGTCTAATAAAAATCAGGAGTTCAAACCTTATCATTAGGTCCCACAGGTCATAGTTATGCATTCTTAAAATATTTACTTTTATAAAAAAATTGATAAACTTGTATTGATATACGCCATGATACCGAATGATACTTTGATGAATTCTGAAACACTAATTTAAAAATACACATTGAGTATTGGACTCACTACAAGAAAAATGTACATAGACAACGGTTAATAACCGTTGTCGTAGGGGTATAATTTCTGTTGTTGAAGCCGGTGTTGTTGTAAGTCCCGCGCATAGACAACGGTTTTTTAACCGTTGTCTTTTCTAGAAACAACAACGGTTTTTTAACCGTTGTCTATTAAGTGTTGTAGAAGCCGGTGTTGTTGTAAGTCACGCACATAGACAACGGTTAATAACCGTTGTCTTTTCTAGAAACAACAACGGTTTTTTAACCGTTGTCTATTAAGTGTTGTCGAAGTCGGTGTTGTTGTATGTCACGCACATAGACAACGGTTAATAACCGTTGTCTTTTCTAGAAACAACAACGGTTTTTTAACCGTTGTCTATTAAGTGTTGTTGAAGATGGTGTTGTTGTAAGTCACGCACATAGACAACGGTTAATAACCGTTGTCTTTTCTAGAAACGACAACGGTTTTTTAACTGTTGTCTATTAAGTGTTGTTGAAACCGGTGTTGTTAAAAGTCACGCACATAGACAACGGTTAATAACCGTTGTCTTTTCTAGAAACGACAACGGTTTTTTAACCGTTGTCTATTAAGTGTTGTTGAAACCGGTGTTGTTAAAAGTCACGAACATAGACAACGGTTTTAAACCGTTGTCGTTTCTTCCAAAGACAACGATTTTTGACCCGTTGTCAATTCAATGTTGTTGAAACCGGTGTTGTTAAAAGTGATGCACATAGACAACGGTTTTTAACTGTTGTCTTTTGTAGAAAAGACAAAAGTTTCAAACTGTTGTCTTTTGTAAAAAAGATAACAGTTTCAAACTGTTGTCTATTGTAAAATAGACAACTTTTAACCGTTGTCTCAACCCGTTTTTAACCTGCTTAAATTTTAATCATATAAAAAAAAAACAATTTATCCATTCACCATGGCCAAGTGTAGTTACATTGCACAAGCTAAACAAGGTTCATAATAACAAGTCTAAATACTGAGCATGACCAATTATAATCAAATCATCATCCAAGTCATAATACTACAAAAAACAATTCTGATCCACAAACCAAGTCTAAATGATCACAACGTCAAATCATACCTACTCTATATAACATGATGATAGAATATCGGCCCATTCTGAACGCACCAGATCAATAACCGCTTTGTCATAATCAACTTGTTAGAACTACATGTATTGATATCCGGGTGATAATATCCATACACAACTCCTGGAGCACAAGGAGAACAGTTAACAAGAATTGATATCCGGGTGATAATATCCATATGAGTAGTTGATGAGCTGGCTTGTTTAGATGACAATCTGACTATAATAGGAACTGTGGCTAACGCAAGACCTAGCAATTTTGATTCCATACAAATCACAAAGATGCAAGCTAAAGATGTTGTGCCTCCTAAGTGATAAAATGAGTTTCTATACAAATGAGGCAGTAAAGGTGCAAAGCCAGAAGATAGATTGATAAGAAAGCAAAAACTGAATAACACAACTTACTTGTGTTGTCCTTTGTAACAAGAGACTTGTCATGGAGGTTTCCTTCTCCATTTTGAACTTAAGCTTGTATTTAAAGCACAATAGTGAATGTTTTTGTAAAGTTTTAATACAAGAGTTACAAGAGTTTGCAAAGAATAATTACATAAGTTAGAAATTTAACTTTTAATACAAGAGTTTGCAAAGTTCACTAGTATTTATACCTTAAAGCTTCCCCCTTTTCACTAGCTACTTACTCCTCTTGGCATTCAAGCACAATAGTGAATGTTTTTCTGTCCTGGCATAATACCCGAGTTATCAGAATTCATGTGTGCTTATATATATATGTATATATATATATATATATATATATATATATATATATATATATATATATATATATATATATATATATATATATAAACATATAACTAGTAATTGCTAAGACTAGAGATGACATTGGTAATAAATGCAAAGCATGTTAACAATCAAGTGAATCAACAACATTAAAAACATATGGATAATAAAACTCTCCTTACATGTTTTTGAAGTTTCTTCAGCTTGGTATTGAGTTCTTCTAACACCTTGGTATGTCTGTCATCTTCTCTTAACTGAAAGGACCCTGATAAATAAGTACACTCTCTTCTTACCTGTAAGATCATGAATAGAATTTTCACATCAAGCTTGGGCATGAGAGCTTGTCACAGTTTTAGACTAAGTATTGCTCACAAAACTTTCCACTTTGGACTGTCCCAATAAGATTGATATCTAGTAAACATTTGTTTGTCGCAATAACTTGAGCCAAACAAACACTAAATGATCCACTTTTAGTGAACTTAATTAATTAAATATTTTTTGTTCAATCATCTCAAAGGGTAATTTATGCATTTATGCATATAACATAATACTCAAAATTTTAAAATTTACAAGTTTCTCCCCATGGAGTGAAATGGCAAAACCCGAGGCTGAAAAGTAGTAATTCAAGTTGAAGTGGTTTAAAAAACTAAATATAAAAATACCTCATTCTCAAGCTGGAGACAAGCAATTTTTTTCTGTCAGCTGTGAGTGCTTTACAGAGTATTTTACAGTGGGTTCCAAATATGTGTAGCTAATCAAAAGATGGTAGCATAAGCCACCAATCAATAACCACGCAGATCCTAGATTTCGCATAAAATCTACAATATAGAGAGCAAATAAAAGAAAGAACATTAGTTCTAATGAAATGAAGCACCAACCATGACCACTAAAAAGAACGTATTATCAATTGAAGATTTTAAATTAAGCCTGACCAAAAAAAATGTATTTACCACTTGATGAACAAGGGAGATAAAGGAAACGCAGCAATGGCTTAATTAAGGGACTGATCAATTTTTTAAAATGTTCATGTTTCGAGGACTTAAGGAGGGAAATCATGACCGTCACATCATTTTCCTGAAACATAGAAGAAGCATGTTGGAGTTATAAGTGGATAATTGCTAAGGATATTGTGGTTATAAATCAAGAGTTTGATAAATAAGTTTATGTTTTTCACTAGAATAACAATAGTCAAAATCACAATATTGCCGTTAACATAGAATTCTATAAGAATGGATACCGACATACCGTAATCATCTTCCATGAATTACAAGGAAAGAGATACTTGATTTCACTGTACTTGTCATCTTCAAATGAACTTTGGTGAGCACTTACAATCTAGAATCACAGGGAACAGGAATTAAGATGTCATTATAATAGTTACAAAGAGAGAAAGGTGGTATTCAGTCCAACTGAAGGGAGAAAAACCTGTTGGAAAAGGAACCGAGCAGTAGATAAAAGGAATTCAGTTATGCAAACATCCATAGAACCATGCCAAAGGTGGTGTGAAGAAGCTCTATCTACTAATTAGTTCGAGTATTGACACAATATCAACATATTTATCAATGAATTTACACATTTTTAGCATTCCATATGTTTAATTCACCAGGTTACAGAAATACAAAACAGATACATACAACTGCATACCTTTCTCCCAGCAATTTTGCAAACACACAGCTGTAATTTACTAATTTATTAAAATTTTTGTAAGTGTTTGGCCAACTCTATCCTGATTGGTTCAAGATTCTGGATAATCCATCATTTTCACCATGTTCCCAAACACATAATCTTAGCTTAACCAGCCTTACCATCGAATTACAGAGGTAAAAAACTAAAATCACTAAATGATTTTATTTGAAAGAATATGCATAAATTCACAAAATCCACCAAAAGTTACTTTAAAAAATTTTACAAGAGCAACAAAAGCAAAAAAAGATGATAGTTTTAAGCTTACTTCGTCGATTGTGAGTGGCAGGGTGGAGTGATGAAGAAATATGGGCACAAACCGGCCGATTTCCAACTCCGCCGCCACCTCCTCTATCCCTCCGTCGCTAGTTCCGTTGTAGATATAATAAAAGGAGTAGATGTGAGCGTACTCCCACAACAGCAGCAGATATGAGCGTAGACTCCCACAACAACAATATATCTGAGCATGAAACTTTGAACTGAGAAATAAAAATAGAGAGAAACCTCTGACCGAATCCATTCCAGCAAACAATCTCTCACCGCTGATTGTCCACTCTTGAGCTCCGGCCGAAACATCATCGGCTTTGCTATAGAAACCGACGTTTATGGCGCTGCTTCCGCCTAGAACGTGACCGCGTGCTTTGGGGACTCCATCCTCAGAGATTAAAGGCTGAGCAAGAAATTAAAGATCTGAGATTTTGTTTAAATGAGAGTAGAAGGTTTTTGGGTGAGATTAGAGAAGAATCAAGAGAGATGCTAAGGGAAGACTGAGCCGCAGAAAGGAGAGGGCGAAAATGGATAATATTTGGATGAATTTCATAGCTTATTACATTACAAGAGAAAAGCTAACCTTCAATTTTTCAAAACCAAGTTTACTGACTTATTCACGGCTGTAGAGGAGGGAGGCGGCGATGGCGGCAGAGGTTGGCGGCAGCAACGGCGTCGGAGGTTGGAGGCGACGAGAGGACACTCTCGGTAGAAAGCACTGACTAAGGAGATGGAAAAGTTGCAATGGAGTGTTAGGGAGAAATTGTTTGGGAGGGAATTTTTTCCGCTAATTGTAGGCGTGTGAATTTCTTTTTTTTTTTTTTTGTTTGGGAGGGAAACAAAAAAAAAAAGTTAAAAAGAATGAAGATATATATATATATATATATATATATATATATATATATATATATATATATATATATATGAAGAAGAAGAAGATATATATTTTTATACCTACTATCTACTATACTAATAAGAGCCTAAAAAAGTTAGGTCTATAACAAATATCAAAAATGTTATAGATATAATCTATTGTTTTTTATACTTGATATTTTTTTTATTTTTTTTTTTGAATTCATAGATTGGTCTTAATTGTAATATAATTGAAAATAAAACTTTAATGAATTGACTTTGAAATTTTGGTGAATAATTTTATATTTAAATATGAACGAAAATATAATTATTAAATTAACTTTTGAATTATATTCTTTCTTTGTTAAATTTTTATGCAATATATTTGGACAAAAAATTTTAATTACATTTTTATTCTTGTTAACACTCAGGATATAATAGCTAAAACATAAGGTGTAACAATTTAGTATATAAGAGTTAGTGTGGTTTGGTGGATTTAATTTTGTTTGTTATGTTAAAGGTCTTGGGTTTTATCCTTTGTGGTGGCATCCTTAATCTATTTTATACAATCATTGTCTTGGTTCTTAAAGACAACACATAAGCAATTTGGTTATATCATAGATGTTGCACTTGAGTATATAAGTGTTGGTGTGGCTTGGTGGGTTTAGTTTAGTTTATTATGTTAGAGGTCTTGAGTTCTTTTCTTCCTAGGGGATCCTTCAACTATTTTCTAAAATTGTTGTTTTGGTTTTCACAAACAACACAGAAGCAACCCAGTTATATACCAAATGTTGCACATTTAATCATAAGAGTTTGTGTTACTTAGTTGGTTAGACCTTATTTGTTAATTTTGAGGTCAAAGGTTCGACTCTTGTTATTAACATCCTTGTTTTTATTTTAATTTATACAACTGTTAAATAACGATGCGCAAAGACAACGGTTTTTATAACCGTTGTCTTTGTAATGTTGTGTATTCAAATACGCTTAAAGACAACATATCAAAGACAACGGTTAAATAAAACCGTTGTCTTAAACAAATAAAGAACGTGCAACGACAACGGTTATATAAAACCATTGTCGTTGTAGTGTTGTGTATTCAAGTGCTATTAAAGACAACACATAAATGACAACGGTTAAATAAAACCGTTGTCTTTTAAAAAATAATAATGCGCAAAGACAACGGTTTTAAAAAACCGTTGTCTTTGTAGTGTTGTGTATTCTAGTGCGCTTAAAGACAACACACCAATGACAACGGTTAAATAAAACCGTTGTCTTTTTTAAAAAAAGAGCGCACAAAGACAACGGTTTTAAATAACCGTTGTCTTTCTACTGTTGTGTATTCTAATGCGCTTAAAGACAACACACCAATGACAACGGTTAAAAAAACCGTTGTCTTTTTAAAAAAAAAAAAAAAACGCACATAGACAACAGTTTTAAAAAACCGTTGTCGTTGTGGTGTTGTCTTTTCACAAAATGCACAAAGACAACACACTTATAACAACGGTTAAGTAAAAACCGTTGTCTTTGAAAAAAGGGTTGCATCAAAGACAACGGTTTTGGACCAAACTGTTGTCTTTTATACAAAAGACAACACTTTTCTTAAAAACTGTTGTCTTTCTAGTGTTGTCTATGTGCATTTTTCTTGTAGTGACTCTTCGCACAATGCTCGTGTGGTAATTTTTTTTGAAAGGAGCCTGTACGGCATTTATGAAATAGATGCTGGTGGATCATAGTCCGAGTACATACTAGTTGACTGAGTAATTGCAGTAGATGCTAGAGTATGAGCTAAATAATTATCTAGTCTAGGAACATAATGAAGTAAACAATAATCAAAAGATAATATACTAGTCCTGCAACTATCAATGGCATAACCCAAGTACGATCTTGACGAGTGTGTCATAGATGATAAATATTGTTGAAGCACCAAACAATCCGTGAAGAGCTCGATAGACTTTATTTCGCGACTTCTTAGCCACGACAAAACTTCCTTGCATGCAAAGGCCTCCGCCATTAGGGGCGAAAAACAGTCTATCATAGGGGCAGTCATAGCCGAAACATAATGTCCTTGCCAATTTAGAATAATGGCTCCCATCGCTGCTTTGTTTATCTGGGGGTCGTACGCCGCATCGAAGTAACATTGATCCCTCATGTTTTGCGTAGCTTGGTGTACCATGTTCGGCATTGGCAACTGTGGTGTAGTCGGCACAGCAATAGTATTGGTTGTTGCCAAAGGGACCGCCGTAGCAGTGTGGGTGTCCACCACGGGAGCAGTCCGGCTGTTTGATGCCGCGGAGGTGGCCGGCGGACGCAGACCGGGATGGGCTACTTTCCAAGCGTTCACAGCTGATGATGCCATTGCAATTATCTTCCGAGGTCTGGGCAAGGTCGCATCCCATACAGCCCCATTCCTTGCACGCCAAATATAATATAAGAGTGCCACTGCATAAATAATTCCATCATTATCTAAAATATTCATCAAATCATTAAACCAATCACTGAAAATATTTGTGACACTATTGGGGATTGGAAGGTGGGATTGTGTCCAAATGTTTGTTGAATAATCACATGTGATCAAAGAATGCACAATATCTTCATGCTCAATCCCACACATGGCACATGTTGGATCAATATCAACTCTCTTTATAAGTAGGTTCTTTGCAGTGGGCAAAATATCATTTAGAGCTCTCCACAAAAATGTTTTCCACTTTGGGGGGCTTTAAGCTTCCATAATATTTTCCATTTATCAAAGGTCCCAACCGCTTGGGTGTAGTTACCTACTATTGTTCTATAGCCACTTTTAACCGAATATTCTCCTTTTGGATCCCCATACCAATACCACAAATCCTCATAATCTGGTGACACAGGTATTTTTAAAATTCGCTCTACATCCTCAGGGTCAAAAATATCAGTTAGAATATCCTGATCCCAGGTTCCTGTATGTTGATCCATCAGTCCCATCACCTTTGCCTGTGCCAATTGGGGTGGTTTTTCTGTTAATATTTTCGGCTGACTCACATCTTGCAACCATGGATGGTCCCAAATCAAAGTTGATTTGCCATCCCCAATCCTGCGCCTAACCCCTCCACAAATCAAATCTTGTGCCGCCATAATACTTCGCCAACAAAAACTTGGGTTATTTCCCAAGCATGCTTCATAGAAAGAATTAGTGGGATAGTACCTGGCTTTATAAACTCTTGAAACCAATGATTGTGGCTGTGTCAGAAAGCGCCACGCTTGCTTGCCCAACATTGCAAGGTTAAAGGCTCGCAACTCTTTGAATCCCAATCCTCCATATTCTTTTGGGATACACAGTTTATCCCAAGCTTTTCAATGAATACCCTGGTCATCTCTCAATCTCCACCAGTATCGATTCATGGTTCGCTCAATGGCAGTGCACAGAGTCGTAGGGAGTAGAAAAACACTCATCGAAAAGGTAGGCATAGATTGAGCCACACTTTTCAATAAAACTTCTTTTCCTGCCTGTGACAAAAGTTTCTTATTCCACGAGTTAATCCTCTGCCTTATCTTATCTTCAATATAAGAGAACGCCACTTTTCTATTCCTGCCCACAAATGATGGAAGCCCCAAATACTTTCCAAAATTCTGCGCCTGCACAACTCCCAATATATCGGCAATCTCCTCCCTTATTTCACCTCGTGTATTTTTACTATAACAAATATTCGATTTGTGATAGTTAACTGCCTGGCCAGACATCTTTTCATATTCCGACAAACAACGTTTAACCACACCCGCCTCTTGAATATTTGCTTTGAAAAAAAACAGACTATCATCAGCAAAGAATAAGTGGGTAATGGAGGGAGCTCCTCTAGCCACTCTACAGCCATGTATCTCTCCCTTTGCCTGTGCCTGTTTTAATAATATTGAAAGCCCTTCAGCACAAATAATGAACAAATAAGGTGACAGGGGATCACCTTGCCTTAAACCACGAGTCAGGGTTATTTGATCAGTCCTTGAACCATTTACCAGTACACTGTAAGACACAGTGGTTACACACATCATCAATAACTCTATCCATCTTTCATCAAATCCCAGTGCTCTTAGCATCCTTTGCAAAAAAGACCATTCCATACGGTCGTAAGCCTTAGCCATATCCAGCTTTAAAGCCCCCAACCTGTTAGTCCACATTGCTTCCTGTTCAAATAATGGCCAACTTCCGCAGCTATCAAGATATTTTCTGTAATTAGCCTTCCAGATATAAATACACTCTGGGACTCAGATATAATATTCTCCATTAGTGGTTTCATCCTGGCTGTAATCATCTTCGCCATAACTTTGTAAACGACATTACTCAAAGCAATTGGCCTATAATCAGAAACCATTTCCGGGGTTTTCTTCTTGGGGATCAAAATAATGTTTGTTTCATTCAATTTATCAGGCATTGAGCAAGTATTCAGACAATTCAAAATATAAGAAGAAACATCAGTACCCACTACATCCCAAAAGTGCTGATAAAACCCAGGGTTCATACCATCCGGGCCTGGTGCTTTATCAGGATACATTGAAAACAATGCGGATTTAACCTCACTCTCTTCAAATGGGCGCAATAAACTCTCATTCTGTGTGCCTGTTACACGTGATTGTATACTCCCAAAGAAATCATCATTAACAGTAGGAGAATTCGAGTTAAAAATACCACGATAATAATCCAGGATTACATTCCTTATGGCATCCCCCTCAATCCATCCCCATAATTATTCATAACTTTAGTAATAGCATTCTTTTTCTTTCGATGAGAAGCATACCTGTGGCAAAACCTGGTGTTTGCATCTGCATCCTTGAGCCAATGCTGTTTGGCCCTCTGTCTCCAGTACGTATCCTCCTGTAATTCAATACGAGCCAAACATTCATCTAGTCTCCGAAACTCGCGTAGGGAAACCGGATCCGTACACCCCCTGAGGCGCAACTGTTCCTTACGCAAGTTCAATATTTTCTCACCAAATTTATGGAATCGGTCTCCACCCCAACGTGTTAACCGATCACCACATAGAGTGACACACTCCTGCAACCCCCTACTTCTTCCTTCGCCCCAGGATTTTTCCACCACTTCCCTACACCCCTCATCATGTAGCCATGCCATCTCAAAACGAAAACCCCTTCTCAGAACACCCCTCCTTCCCCGAAGATTGAGAATTCCAAGGAAAAGGAAAGAATGATCTGATTTCCGGGTTAATATATTCTGCACATTTGCATCAGCCACCAACTCTCTCCAGGTTTGAGTAGCCAAAACCTTATCCAATCGTTCCTCTATCCAGTTTGGCGTGCCTTTTTCCCTTCTCCCAAGTATAGGGATATCCAGACATTGGTAATTGTGTCAAACCACACTCCTCAATAGTTTCTCCAAAGCCCCGTAGCAAGCTGTCTGGATGGGGATTTCCTCCTCGTTTCTCATACTGATATAAGATATCATTAAAATCTCCAATGATTACCCATGGCAGATCCGATCTACTTGCCAATGACCGAATAAGGTCCCACGACTCCCTTCTCTGCAGACGCTTCGGGAAGCCATAGAAACCAGTCATCCTCCACTTATCAAAACCTGGCAAACTCACCTCAACATCTATGTGATTATTAGAATAACCAATTATTCTTGCAGTATCATTCGTTCTCCATAACAATGCCAGTCCTCCACTCAATCCAGTGTTATCCACATTAAAAAGGCCTTCGAAACCAAGCTTAATCCGAAGGCGCTCTGCATGATCTCGGTTAACCTTAGTTTCCATCAGAAATACAAAATCGGCTTTCTTGCGGGACACTATGTCCTCAATTTCCCGAACTGTCTGTGGATTACCCAAGCCACGGCAGTTCTAGCTCAAAGTACTCATTGGGTCGGGTGGGTCTGCATTGCAGCACCCGCCATCTGCAAGTTTTTTTGAACATCCGTCATTGCTATATCCTCCTCCATCACCACTCCCTCCCTCACCCGGTGCCCCCTACCACCCCTATTCTCAGAATCCGCCAAACATAAGCTTTCCGGCTCAATGTCCACCCCTACTTCCACTCCACCACCAATCTCCCCATCCATTCTACGTCTCTTTGGATCCACCCTTACTCCCTCTTCCTCCCCAACTACCCCTTTCTCCCTCGCCAACCCCAACTGACCGTCACCACCCTCCCCCGCAGCTCTACCCACCGCCACCCGACCCCTTGTTCCGGATATAGCCGGCCCACCTGCTACCGCAACATTGTGTCCGTAGCCACCAACACCAAACCCGATTTCTTTCCTTCTCTCCTGCCCTATCTTAAACCACTTATCACCCAATATCTTGGCCAGATTATTACCACCCGCTCTCATAGCCGCACCAAACAGATACTGATCCGGTGTCAATAACGAACGACGAGCAGCTAAACAGAATTTATCAGTATGCCCCATTACACCACAAAAAAAGCAGAACATATGCAAATGCTCGTACTTGAAATTTATCCAGACCCACGTCCCATCCCGCATGATCATCTTCATACGACGTTTCAAAGGGACAGATACATCATGTGTTATACGTACCCGGTAGAACGAGGTCCACAGTCTCTCAAAATTACGTTCATCATAACGTAAAAACACCCCTGCGAAATCCCCAATCCGCTCAAGCACCTTGACAGTCCGGTATCCCAATGGAATATCATAAACCTGCAGCCAAAAGTCCACAGTGTTCAACACTACTTGCGTTGGATCTTCCCCATCATTCAAAACCTGGCAAAGAAACGTCGCGTTCTCAAACGCCCAAGGACCCTCCTCCAACACCCGGCGCATGTCTGCCTCATCAAAGAATGTAAAGAGATATAAGTTCGGGGTAACGTCCGTTATCTCAATTCCCATGAGTGGCCGCCATGCCGAGGCCATGACTCGCTTCATCATCTCCACTTTCATGTTTCGGTCCGTAAGGAACCGGCCAACCAACGTCCATGTGCGACGTTCCGACAGTTGCATCGCGACACCATATCCCTCGCGTCAAAACGCACACCTTGTTCTTCATCTTCCAGACGTATCTCCGCAGTAGATGCAATGATTTCACGCACATCCATAGCCAAATCGCCGATGATCGCCCGATCATACGCAAGAAAACCGACAGAACCCTAGATCTCAGGGGGGGACGAGAGAAAACCCTAGTTCTCAGGGAGAGAGAATAAAACCTACAGACATTGCTCGTGTGGTAATTAGTATATTATAAAGATATATAAATAAGGTCATTTTAATAATAAGTGCAACGTTTATAACTTAGCGAAAATCTCTTTATGCAAAACATCCATACTCATAGACCATTGGAAAAGTTTGTTTTGTTTGAAAAATCATTAGCGTTTTAACTAATCACGATCACTATTTATTTGGATTTTTATAATTTGGTTGTTGTTAATTGTTAAAAGGATTAAAAAAGTCATTTGTACAAAAAATATTTAATAAATGGACACAAAGAGAGAGAGAATTTTATTATATATATATATATATATATATATATATATATATATATATATATATATATATATAAGTGTAACCAAATCCCAGTTAGATTAAATAATAATTTAATTTGGTGTGAAAGGGAAAGCATTGACCTTTTGATTAAAATATTTGTGGCTACACCACATCTTACCTTAATTTGCCAAGAATCTAGCAAAAGTCTAAAGGATATTGAGAATATTGAAATGGGTAATTTACTCTACTTTAAGTCACACACATGTATGTACATGGCAGCAACCATATATAGAATTGATCATTGAACTAATAAATCTCCATTCTCAAACTACTTTTTTAAGGATCTTGTATCACTGCTTGGGAACCAACTCCTAAGTCATAGGTTTTCCTTTTCTTTTATTTTGTTCGTTACCCTTAAATAATGTACTTTAATTTTTTGTCATTATTTTTCTTAAATCATTTTTGTTTCAATGTTTTTGGAATAAAAAACAATCATGATCCTTAATTTAGTTTGTGGTTGAAATGAAGGACAAATTTCAGACAATGGAAAGAGTATTAGATGGTCAGTATATTCAATATCTCGTTCTCATTTATTTAAATATATGAAAAGTACTACATATCTCAATAAATTTGGCTTATAATTTTACACTTCCAAATTATAATTAGTTGAAAAGTTACAAAAGAA